ATCACTTTCCCATTCGCACGTCTTATGGTAAGCCTGGCTTTCTTTCAATTGAAATCCACTGTAAGCATTGAAAACTGACAATAGACAGTTAGCTCACATTTGATCACTATACAACGTTATTACTATTCCAAATGGCAGGCGTTTTAAATAGTTATCATTAGCCATTTAGCTGACTTCGGGCTTCACAGAGGGAGGAACATCAAAGTGAGAAAAATTCGAGAGGGGGAGCAAAAGAGTGATTCACAGATGTAGAAGAGACAGACAGACACAAAGGTAGGGACAGAGGTGAGGTGAGTACTGTGGAAGTTGTGGAATATGAAATAGGACCTTATGATCTGCTTATTTATGTAATCATTATGAACTGGAAGGTATGACCTTAACGCCAGTTTACTGTGATGTAATGCTGTAATAGCTCTTGAAAGTCAATATTCCTCACACGTCTATCGAACGTTCGAGTAACTAGTTTCTACAATATTTTACACTAAATTAAAGTGCTTAAATTAATGGCGCACAGATGGAGAGATGTTGTCTGACATTTGACCTCTTTGATGGCTGGGTGTGGGTCGCACATCGGTTCCAGTTGTGACAAATCACTATACAAAGAATATTATCGGGCTGTAAGGGTAAAATTGATTTTCTGTTGGAGTATCAGTTAAAGTGGTGATTAAAACTCTCCGTGTTCCAAAGTTTACTTTCCTAACTGGACTGAGATATCATTCATCATTTAAAATGTCAGATAGGAGTTCACCGGATGTGCCACTATTTCTGCATTACCATCAGGAGGCTTAGATGTGTCTAGTCTATTGTAAGCATTAGGAGAAGCAGAGAAAACATTTCAACGAGTTTATTAGTCCCGTAGACATATGAACAGCGCTTTGAATAATTAATCAGGTAAATCACCTCAACCTCCTCCCTCCCCCTCTCCCTCCATTCATTTCAGAGAAGCTCTACTTGGCTCCTGAACTGCTGCGGGATGCGAAAGCAGCTCAAACGGGCAGTCAGCCGGGTGATGTCTTTGCAGCAGCTATTGTGATGTATGAGATCTTCGCCAGATCACCTGGCCCCTTTGGAGTGGACGCTCAGGACTCCGAAGCCATTGAAGCCATGCTTGAACGCCTTCTCTGTGACGACCAACAGGAAGCTGGCGTACCAAAGTACAGACCAAGTGTAAGTTTAATTTATATCAAATGGCAGTCTTTATGATACTTATCATTTGCCCTTTGGTTGACTTCGGAAATTTCAGAGGGGGGGGGGGGGGGGGGGGAGGGAGGGACATCAAAGTGGGGAAAAGTGGAAAGGGGGAACAGAGGAGTGATTCCCAGATGTAAAAGAGACCGACAGACACAAAGGCAGAGAAAAGGTAAGATGAATACTGTGGTAGGGGTCGAATATGACCTACCGTGGGGTCAAGGTAGTTTGAAGTCAGAAGTCGACTGCTGGTTAATAGGCTTTTTGCCGTTTGAGTATATGCTGCCCAGTGTACACACTCCAACCAAGTGTAAGCCGTTTACAGAAGTTTATACCCAAATTTAACTGGAATACTGAGTCGAACGATTCGTGTATTAATTATTCCGTCTCTTAAATGAGATGCAGCAATGATTGTTAAAAAATAAGAACTATACCGATTCAAAATGGGCTGAATAGGGCCTGGCGATTGGCAAAAATTTGCTACAAACACAGTTATCAGCTAGCAACGCCATCAGATTCCATTAGAGAGATTTGGCCGGGATTAAACATGGGAATTCAGTGCGGCCGATGGCTAGATCAGAAGAAATGTTCATCATCGTGTCGATTGCTGAAAGAGAGCGCGGATTGCAGCTAACTTGGCAGTGCGTTCGTTTTCCTTCTTTATGCCTATCTGTACTTTATTTTATACCTTCTCTATGGATACGAAACATTCAGCCTGTACCTCCAACTTTCAAGTTCAGCGTGTGGTTGAAAATACCACAATGGGACTAAGAATTGAAGTAGGAATAATTGGACGTTCCATCTGGAAGGTTACCACTCTCCCCTTCATTACGAACTTACTCTCTTTTCTCTTAACGACCTCAAGTTACAATAAAAAATCCACATTGATTATCAAGAACATATTTTCACTGCCTATTTCGAAACCTAATCTATTCATTCATTTAGTTCGACGATGTGGATATTTCTAATGCCTACAAGAAGTTGGTTCAAAATTCCTGGTCAGAGAATCCGAAATTGCGTCCAACTTTTAACGAACTTGAAAGTCAATTGAAACAGCTCACTAAAGGGAAGTAAGTTCGTCAAAATCGCCCTCAAATTCCTCGACTATTTTTAGGAAAACAAACATAGTTGATCATATGCTCAAAGTCATGGAGACGTACTCCGCAAATCTTGAAAGTCAAGTTAATCAAAGAACTGCTGAACTCCAAATTGAGAAACAAAAGACAGAAATGTTGATTGCCAAAATGCTTCCTCCGTAAGTCCACTTTCATTCCTATAAATTAATTGAATTAATTGAAAGTAATTAATAAAGGGTATTCTGATTTAAGATCAGTTGCTCAAGCTCTACTTTCTGGTGCTCCAGTAGATCCAGAGGCATTCGAAGAAGTCACCATCTCTTTTAGTGATATCATCGGTTTTACTACCATCTCGGCTAAGTCGACCCCATTGCAGATAGTCACTCTGCTCAATGAACTCTACTCAATATTTGATGATATGATTCAAACGTTTGATGTCTATAAGGTAATTGATGCAGTTGGGAATTGACAGTTAATTGATAATCAGGTTGAAACAATTGGCGATGCCTATATGGTGGCTTCTGGTTTACCAATTCGAAATGGAAACCGTCATGCTGGTGAAATTGCTACGATGGCGTTAGAGTTAATTAGTATCAGTGGATCATTCACGATTCCACATATGCCTGGTGTTCCGCTGTACCTGCGTCTTGGGATAAATTCAGGTAAGTAGGTGCCTTGGTTCTTCGATTGCATAATGATTTTTCATTTTTTTCTTAGGTCCTTGTGTGGCTGGAGTGATAGGATTGACAATGCCGCGATACTGTCTCTTTGGAGATACTGTTAATACTGCTTCAAGAATGGAGTCAACAAGTACAGGTATGTCCAATATTCACACTGGCTTAATAGGATTGTTAATTGATTGGTTCTTTTAGCCCATTAAAACAAGCCAATATTAAGAAGAATATTTTTGTAAATAAAGAGTGATTTATTCCCCTTGCTTAGTAATGTATTAAACGATCAGAGAAAGGAAACTCAACTGGTTAAATTTTTTAATTAGCGTATATTTATTTCACCAAGTAGGCGAAATAAATAATTTTCTTCCAACTTTCACTTCAGCTTTTCGGATTCATGTCAGTCCGCAAGCCAAGGCAATTTTAGATGAACTTGGAGGATACCATCTGGAACACCGGGGCAAAGTCTTGCTGAAGGGGAAAGGTGAAGTTGACTCCTATTGGTTGGTTGGAAAGGACGGCTTTGATAAGAAATTGCCAGATCCTCCTACTGGCGATCCGTGAGTTTTTGGTTTATTCATAGTATTGCTGTTCCGATTTCATTGATTCGTGATATTGAGGACCCGAACATCGGGGCGAAAGAATGGCACAATTCTTAAGTCAATTCAAATTACTACATTCGACGCTCAAGAAACTTTAGACAAGTGTGCTATGTTTGAATGGACTTTATTCGAAAAGTATTATTTCAAATGGCAGGCTTTATGATATTTATCATTAGTTCCTCAGTTGACCTCAGCTTTCCCCACTTGGGGAGGGGGAATATGTATGACAGTTAATTAATAGCAGTTCATTAGCTGTCTTCTGGCTTCGCAGTGTCTCTGGGTTTCCGTCATTGTCTATAGGGCTGGACACCTAATCTTCTCCATTTCCTCATGTAGGTTACATAGAGGGCATGTGGGTTGAGTGTACACTCCCAATCTGTGAAGGTGTTTTGCCATGCCATCGTCTCCGGTACGTAGTCTAAACTCAGCAACGGCTTCGATTCTTGCCCAGTCGGTTATGTCGGAGAGTGCCACTGTCCACTGTTTCTCCTTCGTTCGAGATTTAAGTTCGTTGCACCTTTAATTCGAAAAGTATATTAATCGTTAACTCTCTTGGAGTCTGGTTACTGTCTTCGCCTTCAATTCCTTGTATGGACTTACTGTTATACATGAGGCATGAAAAATATTACAACAATGCTATCTATGACTTTCCAAACTCCCTTCATCTTCCATTCCACTAAAGGAGTCAGTTCTGATCTGGTCTTATTCTAAGGTCGTCACCTAGTACAACAATGATCACCTCTTGATTTGTCACTAGTGTCAGTAGAGTTGGTGTCGACGGCCTAACCTTCTCGCCAACTTTCAAATTGAGCGACGTTCGAAGGAAAACTGCGTTCCAGCGAAACACACATTTCCTTTCAAATCACATGTCGTAAGGGGACCCCTTAGAAAATTAGCCCCCCCCCCCTGTATACTTGTTTAATCCCTTGAAATTTCCCAGTTCCCAATAATGAACAAACAAAAAGAGATTTGTTATTTCATCTCGTTAGTATCAGTCCTAGTCAGACGCGTGTTTACTGAGAGGTTGTCAGGTTTACAACAAGCATTTTGCTCACTCTGTCACATATTAGTTAATTGTACTTTTTTTCTTTCATCTGCTAATAGGGAGGTCAGCTTGGTGCAAGAAGATAAATTTTTTATCTGATTATACAATGGTCGACTATTACTGAGAGCAAAGGGGTGGGGGGAGGGGATAGAACCCATGACATCTCACCCATAAGCTCGCATCAGGGTTGATAAGCAGAAGGAGATAATTGAAGGGCTGCTATTAATTAAGTATTTATTAAATAGTGGTGGGAGAAATCATACTTCAAAAGTCAGTTTTAATACTGGTCCATTTCCAAGGAATTGAAGCTCTAGATTTCAATAGGATACCTACACCTTACTTTCTCCGAAGTACCTGAGGTCAAAATTGGAGGTACTATAGCCTTCGATATCTCTCTTTTTCAATAAAAAGATGATTTAAACACATGAAGACAGATTATAAATAGTTTTTTATCCAAGAGAGCGGTGGCTAATATGCTCGTCTGCGATACTCTTAGGGAGAGGTATTGAAACCACACTAAATAAGTCTGTCCATTAAAACAAGTGGTGGAATCTGATTTTATCATCAAAGTGGGATCATGCTGGTATCTCTTTACTTGAAATTAATATTGAAACACAATTCCTTAATGGACTTGTGAGTCATTTTTCCTAAAAAGAGCATCTTTTCAACTTTTGGGCAGAACATGAAGAACATATATTATAAAAAAACTTTTGATAACTGCAATATGTGTCAAAATTTTCTCTAACTAAATCGTTTTCCATAGCAATACTGACCTTATTTAATGAGATATTTTGATATGAAAAATTTTAGCTAGGCTCTTGATGTCTACTGAATCACTTTCAAATTTTTTAATATTTTAGATTAGAGTACCTGAACGAAATGATCAACAAGGTGACTCCAATTTCTGAAGCCCATGCAACAGAGCAAGCGCAGGCTAGTCAAAACACCTCGGCAATTCTGGAAGGCATCAATAAGAGCCTGAGACGAAGTCAGGGCCCAAAGCACATGGAAGTCAAGAACGCCGAGAAGCGGCATCGACAACGCAAATCCAAGAATTCCACAGCAATAAATTCAATGGAGAATTCGTAAGAACATCGAGGGACCTGAATTCGAAGACTCACGTCAATAATGTTGTGTATGAGAGAACCTATTCACTTTGTAGACGCATGATGATTTTATGGGCGATAAAATTATTTAGTTAATCCAATCATGCTTGCCAATAAAACACTGTTGCGATAGCATATCGTGGTTTTCAGTTTCTATTAAGCTACAATAGTATGTTGTAGTTACTGACACCTGATTAACTAATCATCTGCTATTTACGTAATGAATACATTCAAAAAATTAGTCATTGTCTCCAGTGCCACCAGGATCTGAGCCATTATTGAAATAACAGAAAAGCTAGGCTGAGAAAATATTAGTCACACCATTAGCTCATTGTATATACGACCCTCACCATTACGGTTCTACAACATGATGTGGAAAGAACAGCCCTAATATACTTGTAAATCAATATTATTGTACAAGGCAATGGAAAAGCTATAATTTTAATATAGAATAACAATGGGTTCAAAAATAATTTGATAGCTTCATTGTAATAATAAATTGCGGACTGCCTTTTAATCGCCTTTTTCAATTTTATGCTAACAGTGGGAATCAGCTGTTAAAATCGATAAATTTACCGATGAGTCTAAAATCAACTGTATCTATTTTTTGGCGTCAAATTTTAAATAATTAAGTCAGAAAAAATGTCAGCACCGGATAATGGAAAGTCTTCAAAACAAACAACTGAAGAAAGACTGCATAGAGAAATTGAAAACTTGCAAAAGCAACTTCTTTTACTGAAGTATAGATCATGCCGTTCTGAAGAAATTAACAAGAAATGTGATTTGACAGTGAAAAGAGTACAAAAAAGCAAGGCACAATTGAGAGAGCAGTCTCAAATGATTGTGGATGATATGGAACAGGTTATATTTGCAATTCTCACTTCTTTGAAATCCTTACAAGCAGAATCTAGAGCGACAATGTTCAGTCTTCAAACTCAACTTCATAATTCAGAACATCAGTTAATTGAAGCTAATGAAACCATTGCCACACTGAAAGAAAAGGTGAATAATTTGGAAACTACCTTATCAGAAAATCGTCGACTTTATGAGATCAGTCTCCAATCGATTCACATCACATATGTCAATTGCATTGAGACAATATTTGAAAAACTGCAAAATTCGATCTTGACGGATTTGGAACACATGGTGCCTGTGAATGATGCTCTACACGAATTATACGCTGAGAAATTCAAAGCCCTGAATTTGTCCTGTTCCTTCGATAAAATTTAAAATAGGTACGGAATATGAAATAAAATGAAAACGTGAATGATGAAACTGAAAATGGAAGTCATTTCTAAAATGATATTCATTCTTTTGAAATTTATATTTCATACAGTTTTGCGTCACTTGCCTAATTAGTCATGTTCGCGGGTTCTTGTAATGCAGCCTGGATTGTATTAGACAATATGTTTGGTAATAATCTTCTATCTTTTGTGTGCAAGTTAAAATAAATTCTCTGGTGATGTAACCCATGGCTAGTCGGTGATGCATTGTTCACAAACCCGATCTAACGACTCTCAAGTCCGTATTAACTAGCTCGAGTACTATCAAACTTTGCATACAAATCGGTTTAGATTTTAATTCGAAAGAGTTAGTACTGGTCAGGACTGATCACTTATTACCGCCACCTTCTAAGCAAAAATGTCCAGAAACCAGGGCGTTGAGCTATGCTCTCGTCCTCTAATTGTTTTATTCATGCTTTTCATAGTTAAATACTCAACGCAAAATCGGGTACGTTAGTAATTTCAAAACACTCTTCTAACCGGAATCATAGACTGAAAGAGGAGAGGTGTGTTATCATGAAATATATTAACACTGGTAAATTTTTCTTCAAATGGCAGGCTTTAATATATTTATCATTAGCCCTTAAACTTTGACATCAGCTTTCCCCATGGGTGGGGGGGGGG